GGAGAAGTCCTCCACAGGCTTGGCCCCGTTGGTACTGGCCAGCTGGGCCAAGCCCTCGGATCCGTTCTGGTTGGGGCCCAGCAGATCCACCTCGCTCGCCGAGTTCTGGCAGTTCCCGGGCGTGCGGCTGTGAGGGGAGGGAAAACTCATCACTGAACACGTCCCTGACACACCCAGCACTGCTGGCAGGGGTGCTGAGAAAGGGGGGAAAACATAGCTGAAACAGCTCCCCGAGTTAATTCTACAGAATGACTTATGTATTTAAAAAACAAACAAAAAAATTCACCCGCAACCCCCCCCGCCCCAGTTCCTCAGCCCCAAACTCCTGTTCCAGTAAAAACAAAATTCAGTTTCTATTTTTCTCCTCAGTCAGTCAATGGAGGATTGACTGAACAAGCCAGGATTTCAGCAATGCTGGTTATTTTTTCATAAAGCTATCTAGTGATTATTTATATATATATATAACTGTGTGATACTCTGGCACTGTGTCTCACTTGAAATGTTTCTAAAGGAGCTCCCACAGTTTCCTGATGACCTAAAATAAGGATTGGACTCAATGGGAATGGTTCATCTCCATGCAGTGTGCACTTCCCAGCCTTTTGTTTGACTTTTACACTTTTTTTTTTAACAATTTGTTTGGCTTTTCCAGTTTTCCTGCATGTCAACAGGAGCCAAGGCAGGTACATAAGTGAGCAAGAAACACAGATGTGTCCATTACATCAACAGTCACAATTTCAGAAGGTTTTAATCCCAGGAGAGCTACAAGGAACAAATCCAAAACCCCAGGGATAATCTAGACTGGTACATAAGCAGAGTCAACACCTTCCACAGGTGTTTCCATAGGGATCCCACACAGAAAGATTAAATTAGGTGTGAAAATAACCCAGATTACAACAGCCAGGCCTAGGTGTGCTCTCAGGTGTTCTCTACCTTCTCCCTGTGCTTCTCCAGGTACCTTTATAACATCCTTGGCACACTGTTCCAATGAGCCAAAGGCTCTTTCACTGCAGCATGAAAAAATCCTTCCAAAACCATTAAATGCACGTGCTGGTTTGGAATTGTGCTGAGAACAGTGCTGGGAACACAGGGATGGCTCAGGTACTGCTGAGCAGGCCTGGCAGAGCCTCTGCTCCTCATCCCTCCAGAGAGGGGGCTGGGGGGACACAGCCAAGACAGCTGATCCCAGCTGAGCCCAGGGATTTATAGAGAAGAGGGTTGATTTAGACCAGACAGGAGGTTTTTTTACAGTGAGGGTGGGCAGGCCCTGGCACAGGTTGTCCAGAGAAGCTGTGGCTGCCCCTGGATCCCTGGAAGTGTCCAAGGCCAGGCTGGAGCAACCTGGGCTGGTGGGAGGTGTCCCTGCCCATGGCAGGGGGTGGATGAGACGGTTTTTAAGGTCCCTTCCAACCCAAACCATTCCATGATTTCCATGAGCATCCAGCATCACACTCAGCATACAGAGCTGGGGGGAGAAGAAGGAGGGGAGGATGTTTGGGGTGATGGTGTTTGTCTTCCCCAGTCACTGTTCCAGAATCACAGACTGGGTTGGGCTGGAAGGACCACAGTGTCCCATCTGGTCCCACCTCCTGCTCCAGCAGGGCCATCCCAGAGCACCTGGCACAGGGTTGTGTCCAGAGGGGTCTGGAATATCCCCAGGGAGGAGACTCCACACTCTCTCTGGTCTCTGTTCAGGGTTGGGTCACTGCCCAGCAAAGAAGTTCTTCCTCCTGTCCAGGTGGAGCTTCCTGGGCATCAGTTCCTGCCCGTTCCTGCTGTGCCATTGCTGGGCCCCCCCAGCAGAGCCTGGGCCCTCCTCTGCCCCCTCCCTGCAGCCCCTGACACACCCTGGGCAGGGCCCCTCTCAGGGTCTGCTCTGGAGGCTGAACAGCCCCAGCTCCCTCAGCCTTTGCTGCTCCCAGAGCTGCTCCAGCCCTTGGGCATCTTTGTTATGACAGATCCCAGCTTTCCTGGGGATGGAGCACCTGCCTGCCTTGGGAAGTGGGGAATGAATCCCTGGCCTTGCTTTGCTTCATGCACAGCTTTTGCTTTCCTTATTAAACTGTTTCCACCACGAATTTTCAATTCAACCCATGAGTTTTCTCACTTTTCCAATTCTCTCTCCATCCCACTGGAGTGGAGAAAGTGAGTGGTTGGGGGTGCTGAGTGTTGGCTGGGGTTAAACCCCCCCAGTGTGACACTAATTAACTGTTAATTAACAGTGCACATACCTGAAGTCTTTGACATCTGCGTCGATCCCGTTCTGAACAGGCAAACCATTTGTTTTGTCCATCACATCCCCCTCCTCCTTCAGATCTCCCAATTTATCACCATCAAACGTGCCCTTATTTTTCTTATCCCCTTTGTCATTCTCATCATTCTCTGCATCCCTTGGCCCCTGGGCAAAAAGAGACATTGTTTTAATAAGCTGAGTTTTCAGATCGATTTTGCTTTCATCCCGAGATGGTCACAAATCAAAGGCACATGTCACAAGAAAGGAAGTCACTTGCAAACGTTAATTCTTACAAAAAAAAGCAAAATAGCCCCTAACAATTGAAGAAACGAGGGAATCAGTTCTCATTCTTCCAAGAGATTTCATCTATTCAGCTTCTTCCATTTAGTAATTCAGGGTTTGCTTCTAAAAATCCCAACCCAAAATAATCTTATAATTCAAGATGGGGCTTCAAAATTCACGACAGCACGTGCTGCAGGGGAATAAACTGAATTAGAGCCTCTCTGGAAGTCACTGGCTCAGTGTCAGAGATGCAGTTATTGACTGGCAAGTGCAAGTGTTGGAGAATCACCTCGTTTTGGGGAGAGGCATCACTGATTTGCACATTGAATTCCAAGGAACAGCTCATTTAAAAGCACTCAAATATATCCCTAACTCAGTCTTGGTTCATGTAATCCTAAAGCACATTTCTTTGGGAGAAAAAGGGGGGGGTGAAAAAGAGGAAAAAACAGATTTCTGTCCTGTTGAGCATTTTATGAGTGGTATTACAGCTCCAGCATTTCTACCCTTAATGTCTGCCTTTTATTTCACTTGGGAGAAGAATAAAGGGTGATGGTGCCTGGGGCAGTGTTTTGAACAACAAAAGGGAGAGGGAAAACAACATAATTTATGATAAAAAACAGCAAGGGGCATATAAACATATTTATCAGGGCCAGCTTTGGTGCTGTCATAGGGCCAGACATGCAAACCCTGCCTCCCACCTCATCTGAGGGAAAAGTGCTCTGCACATAGCAAGCACTGGATCAACTTTATCCATCCCCTCTAACTGAAGGGGGAGATTTTTCCCTCATATTTAGGAAAAAAAAAGATAGTTTTGAAAGCAATAATCTGGTGCTGCTTCTTAAATAAAATTGTGTTTCCTCAGTATTGTAGGGGGGGTTTGGAAATGCCAACATTAAATATAAACTTGGAGCCCAACTGTCCCCCCACAATGGGATATTCAGCAGTGAGACCCCTGAGTGGCTGTGCTGTGGAGGAAACACCTCTCAGACCCCCAGCTGGGATAAACTGGCTCCTTCCACTGACTGTTCATTCCCCAAAACTCCTGTTCTGTGGGCTCAGGGCTCACCCAGGTTATCAGGTGCCCGCTAAGGAGGGCAGGGATGAAGGGAGCTGCAAACCAGCTCTCTGGAGAGCTGAGCATAACAAAGGAGGGGTTTCCACAATTCCTGGCCCAGCACTGGGCTGATGGGGCAGAGCTGAGGTCCAGCCCCTTCTCCCCACCACAGGGATGGGCTCTGATGCCACCTCTCTCCCCACATCCTTAAATTTGAGGTGGCAGCAACTGTGCTCCTCCCTCACCCCAAGGAGCACAGGCACTGGAGCCATTTCTCCATTGGGAATGCTCTGCCTGGACAGCAATATCCCACCTGGTGTGGGTTTGGGAGCTTTGTCCCATGGCTGGGATCACTACATGGAGCTTTTTGCTCACCAAGGCTCAGTCAGAACCCACAGGAGTATCTGCAACCTTGTCCAACCACCAGCTTGGATGGGGTGCTACTGCTGGGGGGCTTAGCCAAAAACCAGGGAATGGCAGCACCCTCCCATCCCTTCCTTCCATCCCACACCCCCCAAGTCAAGGACAATGGTTAAATCTGCTGGTTTGAGACTGGTCAACCTGCCTGTTTGAGGAAAGAGTGAAACTAGGAGCTAATAAGAGAAGAAACATCTGCCTTAGGACTGGATTAACAAACAAACAAATTGAGCAGCAAACAGAGAAAATAACACAACAGGACTGAAATGTGGGGATCAGGCAGACTTACAAATCCTCCTTTCCTTAGGCAGGAATCTCCAGGAGATGAGCTCAACACATACTCCACCATGCTCACACCCAGTCCTCCACTCTCTGACCGGGGGGAAAGCACCGAGTTGACTTCACTGTTCACGTGAAAGCCCTGCCCAGGTCTTCTCTGAACCATAATGGGTTGGGAAACAGAGTGATCTGGAACAAAAACATGGGTAATTCATGTAAGAAGATCCAACAAAGGAGGCAAGTCATTAAAGATGTACTCTCCAGGGTCTTATCTGCACTAAGAAGTGCCAACTCTGTGACTCTGGTGCTGCCCATCAGTAAAACCAGGAGGAGTTTCTCATTTTTTAAACATTAGAACCTGTAAACCTACAAGTGAGAACTCCATTAAAATCTAAACTAAACTTTAGAAATTTAAGACTCATTAAAGGTTGCAATTAAAAAGACAAAGTTCTAGTTTTTATTTTTAGTAAAACTCTTGCACTAGTGCAGTGAAAAACAGTTTTGGTTTGTCATTTAAAACATGATCCTGTTGTTACACCAACCTGTGTTTGTGTTCTTGGTCCTAAGAACTGCAGTGTTTGTGTCATGATCAGAGACTTTTGTGGTTATTTCCTCAAAAAATGTTTATGAGAACTTCATCTCCTCTTCCCCATCCCATCCTCCTGCACCAGCCCCATCCCTGCTGTGTGAGGCTTTGAGATCCAACCAGGAACAGACTCAGGAGAGACATCTCCAAGTCCCTGGAGATGGGCTGGGCAAGAAATCACTTGCCCAGCCAGTGATTTTTCTTTCCTGTCAGAAATCACTGGCTGGGCAAGAAATGATCCTGAATCCCCAAGGAGGGAAGGGAAGGAATTCTCTGAGTCAAAAATAACAGGCAGCAGACACAGGAGTTGCCAGGGGCTGGTGGAAGGGCCGTGGAAGGGACATCAATATCCAGTGATAGTGATAGTGATAGTGCAGCTTCCTTATAAAGCAGGTAGAAGCTGCCAGAGCAGTAATTCTATTCTCTCACTGCTCCTGGCTACACTTCCCTCCTTCTCCCCCAGGCCAGCACAAGCAACCACGTGTCCACAAAGTGAAGTGGACTGGGGAGACTTTGTGGGATAAAGACAGCAAAAAAGGGAAAAGCCAGTTTGAAGCCGGCTCGAGTGCCCGGCAGGACTCAGTGCACTGCTGCACAGCTTGTGTGCCACCAGGAGGGGAAGCAGGACAGGAATGATGCTTTGAAGGCTTTAAAATTGGCTTTGAAGGCTTTAAAACTGGCTTTAGACACTTTAAAACCACGATTTTGAGGTACAGGAGTGAAACCCCAAAGCCCCGTGGGAGGCCTGCAGTGCATGCTGTGGGCACAGAGAGAAGGGATGGAGCCCAGGGTGTCTCCCAGCAAACCAGGTTTCACCCCTTCCGTGCAGCCTGGGCACTGAGGGGATTTTGGGGGGCTGGTCCTTCATTTTAGACGAGCCAGAGGGGAAATGGTGCCTTGCCTGGCTTCCAGCCCCTCAGGAACACAGGCTCTGAGGGGCATTACTGGAGAATAACCACAGGAGAGAGGAGTCCAAGGGCTGTGACTCCTGCAGCTCTGGGATCAGTGGGGGAGGTGACCTGCCTGGGGGTGGCACAGCCCAACAGAGGCAGCAGAGGAGAAAGTCCCTTCCTCAGCCTTTAATCCACCTCAGCTCCAGTCTGGACTAATAAAACCTGGCACAAAGTGCTGCCAAGAGCTGGGGCTGCAGGGGACAGGCCCCCCAAAACCTCCCCAGTGCCCAGACTGACCCAACACATGGAATTTTGAGGAGCTTCATCCCCTTTTTACAGTCATTTTTCAATTTAAATAATACAAAACGCCCTCAGCACTACAGCAAAGCCTTCAATTAAATAATGGTTGTTTCTGTGAGGGAAAAGCCCCACACAACAGTGCAGCTGCTGTAAAATCCCATTTCCTGGGAGCTGCAGATGTTTGGGAAGTGCAGGAGACGCCCAGAAGTGTTTAAGGAAAGTATTTATCACATATAGAAACCAGAGAAAATAACAAATACAAGGGCAGCATTTCAAACCCAGCACATGGATAGGATTTTTTTTAACATTTAACTGAAACCAACCTGAACACTCCTGAAGTCTCTGATCCAAGATCAAAATCCTTGGCAGATATAATTCAACACTCCTAATTCAAAACATCATTTTTTTTTCTTTTTCAATCTGGTTTTTGTTCGTTTGTTTGGTATTTTTAAAATTGTGGGTGTTTTGGTTTTTTTTTTGTTCAAACTTTCAAGTGATTCGTCCCAAGGCAGAAAACACATCAGAAAGTTTAAATTGAAATTTTAAGGGTAATTTAAAATTTTTAAGCAAGTACACACGAATTTACACACAACCTTTTGATATGTATGGATATGTTAACTCAATCACAAAGCAATGTGGGGTTTTCTATTTGTTTTTTATTATATAAACCAGATGGTTTTTTAAAATCTTTTCAGAACTCGGTGATTGTGAGTAGATGAGTTGCACATTTCTGTATTTAACCCCAACTAAATTAAGTAAACAATCAAACTACCTGATGCTCCCCAAGCACTGTCTCTCCACTGATCTCCCAGAAATATCCCTTTTGGTCCATCTTTGCTGGAATCATCAGATTCCCAAAACTTTTTACCCGGCAACAGCTGCTGCAATTAAAAAAAAACACAAAAAAAAAAAAAGAGAAAAAAAAAAAAGAACAAAACAAAGCAAAGCATGATTAAAATAAGCATAAAATGCAAACATAAACCATAAGCAACTCCCTTCTAAACAGGAATCAATCATTAAACATAAACTGATCCACCCAAATATTTATACACACGGGGTGAAAGCCACACGGCAGCTGAGGGAGCAATTCCATCATCCCAATCCTCTTATATTCTTAAATGCTTTATGAACCCCACACGTCAGCACACACACACACAACGACACTCTCCAAGCTCTTGGAAAATAATACATATATATATAGTAGAAAAACCTATTGTGATCAGAATATACAGACAATGACACTCTCCAGACTCTTGGAAAATAATATATATATGTATATAGAGAGTAGAAAAAACTATTATAATCAGAATACACAGACAATTACACTCTCCAGCTTCTTGTAAGAAAATACATATATATATATATAGGTGTGAGTATATATATATAGGTGTATATATATATAGGTTTAGAAAAACCTATTGTGATCATAATATGAGGAGTTCAGCTGAGCTGGGGGGACCTCTGTGAGCACCCAGCACAAATTCCTGCTGCTGGCAGGGCCAGAAAAGCTCAGGAGATGCCAAGAGCTCTCACTTGTCCCCCAGCCAGTGACTGCTGAGGACTCCTGGTGTTCCCAAGGTTTTTTGGGAACATTAATGAGACTGAGCAGTTCTGGGTCATGTGGGTTGAGCTGAGGGGAGGAAAAACAGGTTCTGGGCTCCTGAGAATGAGACAGAGGCATCCTGGGCTTGGGTGAACCTGAGGACAGCTGCACTGGAGGTCAGGAGATGGGTTTTGGAAATGGCACCTCCACATGACCAAGGGAAGTCCTGCTGCCTGGGATGGCCATCACACCACCAGCCAGATCCACCCTCTGAGGGAGAGGAACACCAGCAAGGAGCCTTTCCTGCTGGAGCTGGGGTAAAACTCAAGGAACTGGGAGATGGGAACCTGCATCTGTCTGAAATCCCCA